CGGGGCGGTGGGGGGAGTTGAGGTAGCTTTGAGGGGGCAGAGGCGGCAAGGCTCACAAACGCAGCCGTAAGGAAGCCTTGGGAAAAGTTCCACCCAACTCCCTATTTGCCTGCTTAGAAGCCGAAACTCAGTTCTCAAGGTCCTCGGGGGAGGTGGTCCTCGCTGCCTCTTAGCCCTCTTGGGTGCCTTCCACACTCCCCATCCCCAGCCTCGGTTCATTTGGTGGCCTTGCCCTGTCTGGAATGCCCTTCCTGATTTTTTTTCTTCAGTGTCTCGGGCAGCAGTGAAAGATGATGTCCTCTTTGAGCCCTTCCTCTTCACTCTTGCACGTCACACTGTCTTTAGTCTGGGTTGGCTTTCTCGCCACTTGCACCTGCGTATAGTACGTGATTAGTGGAATTTGTGATTACAAGAATTTGGGCCTCGCCTTGAAGGCGGTGATGGCGCTTGTTAGATGGCAGCTATCAGGTTTGCATTGCAGGAGGATGTTTGGGGAATGGCGTGGATGATGAGTTAGCAGAAGACGTTGAGACTGCCTGCTGCCAAGTTAGTCCAGTTATCTAGGAGAACTAGTTTCTTCCTCTCTGCTTCCTTTTGCTGTAACACAGTAGACATATCCCACCTACTAGAAATTAAGCTGACTCACGACCCTACCCAAGGGGTACGGCCTGGCTAGCGTGGTCTCTAGGACTCGGCTATCCAGAAATAATTCCGATTAGGACTTGATGAAGAATGTGTGTGAGAGAAATTTGGGGAAGTTGAAGGAGAGGATGGTAGTGTGGAGAGAGGCTGTGGGAGAAATGTCGACTCATGTTTCTGCTCCCTCTGTGGACTGAAGGCAGGGGAGGGTTTGCGTTCTGTTGTTTAAAAGGCAGACTGAACCTTTAGGTGCTGATTTGGAAGCTGCTAGGTGGTAGATCCTGTGGCCCCAGTCACAGGAGTGATCAGATCTGAGGGGAAGGTGGGCCTACAGAGATGGAAGTCTGCCAAGCAAGAAGGCGGTGTCTCTGGGTGAAAGAGGAGCAGCAAGCTCTGAGAAAGTGGGTACATAGCAAGTGGTGACTGGGTGGGTACAATGACAGGCATGGCTGTGAATGAATGAAGTTGAGACCAGCTCGTTTTGTTGGCTTGACTGGCCTGAAACTTACTATGTAGATCAGGCTGGCCCGCAACTAACTCACAAAGATCTGCCTGCTTCTGGGATTAAAGCAATGCAACACTGCACCTGCTTGCTGAATCTTTATACTGTGCTTAATTGGTAAAATAATCATGGAAGGGAGATGTGTTCTTTTTGTTGTTGTTGTTGGCTTTTTTTTTTTTTTTCTTTTCAAGACAGGGTTTCTCTGTGTGCCTTTGGAGCCTATCCTGGCACTCGCTCTGGAGACCAGGCTGGCCTCAAGCTCACAGAGATCCACCTGCCTCTGCCTCCCGAGTGCTGGGAGTAAAGGCGTGGGCCTCCAATGGCCACCAATGCCCGCCTGGCTTGTTGTTGGTTTTTCCAGACCGGGTTTCTCTGTAGCTTTGGAGCCACCTGGAGGAAGATCTGTTCTTATGCCAATTCCCAAATTTGGGTTCCAGTTTTGTACTGGAAATTTCGGCATCTGATACTTATTGGCCTAGGTGGCTGAGGATGTTCCTCATTTTTCTCCTGTGACTTATCCCATGCTTGGTACTGGGTAGTTTCCTAAACTACCTAAAACTTTTTTTTTTTTTTTTTTTTTTTTTTGGAGGGGAAGTGGAAAGTGAGTGATTAGCTGTACTTTCCTGTTACTTTTCTTGTTTTCTTGATTACAGGGTTAGCTCTATGAGAAACAAACCCGAAAGGCATCTTCAGTCCTTGACTTAAGAGCTGTGCTCAGTAGGCAGTGTTCTGGTGATAAGAGCTAGTCTCACCTTGTTTCAACCCAGCTGTGCTCTTTGCTGGCTGGTAATCTCAGCAAGTGGCTTAAGTTCCCTAAGGAAGATAAGACCATTACCTCACAGGTTCATTGAGGTCTGAATAGTTAACTCATGAGACATTTAGGCAGCCCCTGTTGCCAGGAGAATGTTAGTTGTCATTGCAGTTATTTGGTATATTTGGTATCGACAGCACCAATTTATTTTCCTTTCTTTTCTCCTCCTCCTCCTGCTGTCAGCTTTTTCCTAACCCTGTGAGTATTTGGCTTGTTTTATACTTTCCAGTAGCCTCTCCTGGTCACTTAGTTCTCTCTCCAGTCCAGACTCTGCAGTGCCCTTTTATTTGTGCTACTGTTTTCTTAATACAGCTGATCTCGAACTTTCCCCTCCACATTTGAGTTCTTGTCTGTTACATTCACCAGGTGCTAGAGAGAAGTCAAGTGTTTGATCTGCAGGGGAGCTAGTAGGAGAAAAGGGTTTGTCCCTGGGTCCTTAGGGTGGAGTGCGGTGCCTGGTGGATCAGTGCTCACCAGATGCTGTGGGTTCAAAGTGTGGAGGAGGGGAGCTGCAAAAGGCTGCACCCAGGACTGGTTGTGTCAGCATGTACACTTTCCTGTAAGCATGAGTCACTCTGCTTGGCATTTAAACAAAGATTTACTTTTATTATTTTTAATTATGCATCTGGGCGGGGGCTAGAGTGGAGGGAGTTATGCACTTGAGTGCAGGTGCCCACAAAGGCCACAAGAGGGTGCCAGTGAGACTCCCAGCATGGGTGCTGGGAATTGAACTCAGGACCTCTGGAAGAGCAGGGCAGTGCTCTCAACTGCTGAGCCATCTCTCTACCCTCTGCTCAGGCGTTTTGTTTGGTTTTGCCGTGTGTGTGTGTGTGGTGGGGTAGGTGTGTGAGACATGGTCTCTACATAGCCATGGCTGTACTGGAACTCACGATTTGGCCCAGGCTGGTCTTGACTCACAGAAATCTGCCAGCCTTATTGGGATTAAAAGCATGTGTTGTCATGCCCTGCCCCTACTCAGGTTTTAACTCCATGTTTAAGTGCTGACTGAGTGGTCAGTGTGCTGTGAGACTTCTTTGCACAATGGCCCTGAGAAGTGTTGTTTGGGCCCTGTATATTGTCCAGTGTCATCTCTTCCTGGTCAGTAATCAGGTTTTCATGCATAGCTGTTTTTCCTCTGCTGCCTATAAGTAGGAGCAGGAAGTGTTTGTGAAAAATTGCCATGAGAATGGTTTCACCAGCTCCCTAAGTCTGCCATAAGTACCATAGCTTGGGTGGCCTGGCCTTTCTCCCTCCTTCTCCTTCCCTCCCTCTTCCTCCCTCCCTCCCTCCCTCCCTCCCTCTTCTCTCCTCTCTTCTCCATTCCTTCTCTTTCCTGCCACCCTTCCTTCACAAAGGCTTGCTATGCTGTCCAGCTAGTCTAGTATTTGTAATCCCACTGCCTCAGCTTCTGAGTGTTTATGCTATAATACCTGACAGACCAGGAGGCTTAAACAACAAAAAATGTATTTCTCATAATTCTGGAGGATGGAATTCTGAGATGAGGTGTTGGGGAGGTAGGTTTCTTCTAAGGTTGCTTTTCTAGGCTTTCAGGTGGCCTCCTCGGTTCTGGGGTTCTCATAGACCTTTTCTCTATGTGGATCTATGCTCTAGTCTCCTTCTTATTAAAGGACATCAGTCATTTTGGGTTGGGCTACTCTAATGACCTCATTGTAATTAATTACCTCTCTAATGACCCTATCTCCAAAAGCGTCCTAAGGATCTGGAAGTTGGAGCTCTTATAGGGGAGTTTGGGGGAGATCAGATTTAGCCTGTAACACCGTCTTTGCTTCTTTGCAGGAAGAGCTGTAGGAATGGTCATGACTTGAAGACTGATCACAACCTGAGTGTGCTGAAAACTCATGGTGTTGACCACCTCACCTATAGTGAGCTTTGCCAGCTCTTGGTTCAGAATGACCCCTGGCTTTTACCAGAAGTGAGTGCCAGAGGGATGGGGTTGAGGTCTTATTTGCAAGTAATAGGAGAAGCCAGATGGTTGGAAGATAGATGACTCGGCCCTGAAGAGAGCTGAGAACATCATTTTGATCAAGAGCCATTCATTGCATGGAGGAGACTTGGATTTAATATCGAGCTTTGCTAATTAAATATGTCAGATTTATTATCCAGCTCTGCTGATCTTGGCGTCTGTTGAAACTTTTCCTTCCCTATCAGTTGGTTTGGCTCCTCAGTGAGGTTGGCTAGTGCCTGAAGCAAGTGTTATTTATAACTAAGCAGAATGAGGGACCCCAGTTGGCCTGTTCCTGAATAGCAGGAATTGGAACCTTATGTCTGACTCATTGGTCTATGAGTGCCTTCCAGAACTTCCCAACAGTCACTCAGTACTTTCGCCACTCTCTCTGGTACCCAGGAGAATTTGTACTTTGGCTGACATGCAGTCTGAGTTTGTGTAAGCTTATTGCATTACCTGTATCGATTGGTGGGTGAAGACACAGCACATAAGCTTTGTTGGCTAGGGAACCGCAGCAGGGTAGGAATGACATTGCTGGCAGGGGAGAAGGAAGGAAGGCTGGGTAGGAGATGGACTATAACATGCTTCCTGCTTCCGAGAGCAGGTCTGCCGGGCTCACAGGTGCTGCTGGAGGGGTGCTGTGGGACTCACCAGAGTAGGCTTTAGGGTAGTGTTGTGCTCCATTGTGCTGGGTAAGGCCTCAGTGTGAGCAGGACCCTGGCTCTGGAGGGCTCCTCTGGGCCTTGAGTGTCTCCAGCAGATCTGAGTAGGGTATTTTCCCTAGGTTGGACAGGTTGCATGGGACACTTTGGCACTGTTACTGGTTTGAGCTAACAAATTAGGTTGGCATATTTTTAATGTAGGTATTTCCACATTAAACAATTCCTGTTACCCATTTGAGAAATGGAAATGTAGCATGAGTGGCACATAATAAATGTTAACTTTTTATATTAGCCTTTTGAAAATTCATATTGATTTAATTGAGCTAAATTTCTGGAATAGCCATTTTGGTTAGGCACTGTGATCAGGAGATAAAAGACCCTGCTTTGCTCTGAAAGGAGGCAAATCAAAGGATGGGATAAGAAGGCGGCAGGATGATTCAGGGTGATGTCTGAGATACTGTGAGAGTACACACTCTGGGTTGTGGGGAGAGGTGCTTTGGGGTAGATGAGGCCTGTCCTGGGCACTGGAAGTTAAGTGAGGATGAGGGCAGTCTGGCACCCCTTATCTGCCAGCATTGTTTGGCATGCGTTTTCCTGTTTAGTAATCACAACTCTGTGACATTGGTGGAATCCTACCCATTTTAGAGATTAAAAAAACAGAATCTTAAAACTGGTGGGTGGCTTGTCCAATGCACTTGTCAGAATTGATAGCTGGCTTTTCCCTTGGGTAGACCATCTGTAGAGTGGAACCCTTGAAAGAAAAGTGAGTTCTGCTTCTGAAGCTCTTAAGGGGTTTCCTACAGTGTGTGAAAAGTAAGTCTAGGAATCGAGTAGGTGGGCCAGTTGCCATGTTGAAGTATTTCAAGTGTAGAGAAGGAGCAGTTGATTGAGGTTCAAGTTGCCAGTTTGTAGTTGTGTATTGTGATGTAGTTCTTTCTTCAGTTATGTAGGTTGGGGTCAGCCCAGAAAAAAGTTGCAGGTTTGCCAGCAGCCCAGTTGAGCAAATAGCAGATACAGTGACTGGGGCTAGCTGAGGATATTTTAATATAATTGATTAAACTTGATGGGAGTGGGGGCATGAACAGATAGATGTGTACGAGGGTGAGTGTGAGTGAGCGTGCCACAGTGGGGAGTTCAGAGGACAGCTCCAGGCAGTTCTTCTTCCTACCTACCTGAGCAGCGGGCACCTTTACCTGTGGAGCCATATTGTTGGCCCTGGCTATTGAGCTTTGGAGTCTGCTAGGTCCATTGAAAAATGAAGTATTGTTGGTGGTTGTTTTTTGTTCTTTTCAAATAAATCATACACAGCGGCTTAGGCTTATCTATCTATCTATCTATCTATCTATCTATCTATCTATCTATCTATTTATTTATTTATTTATTTTGAGACAGGGTGTCTCTGTTGCTTTGGAAGTTGTTCTGGCACTCTCTCTGTAGACCAGCCTGGCCTCGAACTCACAGAGATCCGCCTGCCTCTGCCTCCCTAGTGCTGGAATTAAAGGCATATGTCACCACCGACCCACGAGGCTTATTCTTAATTATGAATACCCAGCCTTAGCTTGGCTTGTTTCTATCCAGATTTTCTTAAATTATCCCCAACTACCTTTTGCCTCTGGGATTTTTCCTTTTCTGCTTCTGTATATCTTGCATTCACTCTTAACTCTGTGGCTGGCTGAGTGGTTGGCCCCTGGCATCTTCCTTGTTCTCTTTTGCTCTTTCTTCCTGTTTCTTTTTATCAGATTTCTTATATTTATTCTCTCTGCCTGTCAGCCCACCTTTCCCGCTCCTGCCTATCTGTTGGCTGTTCAGCTCAATCAGGTGTTTTAGACAGGCAAATTAGCACAGCTTCACGGAGCTAAGCAAATGCAACATAAAAGAATGAATGCAACACAGCTGGGCAGTGGTGGCACACCCCTTTAATCCCAGCACTCTGGAGGCAGAGGCAGGAGGATCTCTGTAAGTTCGAGACCAGCCTGGTCTACAGCCACCCCCACAACACACCCAAAAAAAAAACCCTCTTTTTAAAAAACAAAAAAAAAAAAAAAAAAAAAAAAGAGAGAGAGAGAATGCAACACATCTTTGCATCATTAAAACAAATGTTCCACAGCATAAACAAATATAACACACCTTAAAATAATTTTCCACAACAATGAAGGGGTGTTATTTGGCCTTCTCTGAGATGCTTTAGCCCTCAGAACCTCTCTAACTTTGAATTTAGAAAGGAAAATTGGGAGAAATGAACTAGTAAGGGGTATTTGGTTTGGTGAGGCTATGTGTGGGGGTAAAGGTAGTTAGATTGGGGTAAATAGGAGGCTGCTACTGCTCTGGTTCCTTTGAAGATCTGTGGATCTTCCCAGGGGAGGGTCTTGTTCAGAGTATATCTTAGGGCACATTTTGGTATCCCTGACTTAAGTGAGAGATGAGCTCTCTGGCCCGTGTGAATGGTGAGATAATACATTGACCTTGAGGCCCTCTCTACCCCATGGCATGGCTATTGAGGAGGTGTGCTGTGTACAGTGTTCATGGAATGATGTCTTTTCCTCTTTGTCACCAGATCTGCCTACATTACAACAAAGGCGATGGACCCTTCGGCTCTTGCTCATTTCAAAAGCAGTGTATTAAACTCCATATCTGCCAGTACTACTTACAGGGAGAGTGCAAGTTTGGCACTAGCTGTAAGCGGTCCCACGAGTTCACCAACTCTGAGAATCTGGAGAAGTTGGAGAAGTTGGGTGTAAGTTCTGAGCTGGTGAGCAGGCTGCTGTCTACTTACCGGAATGCATATGACATCAAGAACAAGGGCTCAGCCCTCAACAAAGTGTCCCCTCCTCCTGCAGGTCCACAGGGGACTTCCGGTAAGGCTGCTGGAGAAATGCTGCAGACCCTGGGCTTAGGACCTGGGTTTTTGTTGGCTAGTAAATAGAATATGTCTTCATGCAGTTGTGGACTTTAATAAGGGCCATTGATCCTTTCCTAGCTTGGAGGTTCTGAAGATGAGTTGAAATCTAGACATAGTCAAACAAGGCATTCCAGATGGTGTGAGTTGGGGTTGGTGCATTTTTCATCCAAGAGGATCTGTGTCTGCACTGAAGTGAGGTCAGCTCCCCTTGTGTAGTTGCCTTCCACCCTGTGGAGAATTTTTCCTTTCAGTGAGGGACCTAGAGTTGGGATGTATACATCTCTAGGGGAAAGCATTAGGTGGCATTCTTTTTGATATTAAAAATGAATGCAAGAAGGCATTCTGTGGTCTTAGCTTAGCATCTTCCTTCCACAAGTCAGCAGACATTTTCCCCCTTGTAAAAATTCTTTTTGGCCTTATTCTCTGATTCTTTTTGACATCTAGACAGTACCTGGCTCATAGTAACCTGTTAACATGAGTGAGTGTGGGGGGATTTTTTTAAGTGTCTGTCAGACTTAGTAACATGTAGACAGAGGACTTTTCAGTTGAGATTTTAAAATATTTTGTATTCATAGGTGTTTGTATTCATAGGTGTATGTCTATGCACCATGCATTTCTGGTGCCTACAGAGGCCACAGGCCAGGAGAAGGCATTGGCGTCCTTGGAGCTGGAGTGACAGATGGTTGTGAGCTGCTAAGTAGGTGCTGGGAACTATACCCAGGTCCTCTGGAAGAGGAACCGATGCTCTGAACTGCTCAGCGATCTGTAGCTTCTAGTAGAAATTTTTTTTAAGAATACTTTTTAATTATTCTTTGATAATTTAATATATATATATTAAATTATATATATTATATGTATATAATATATATAATTTTCTTAATCATATCTAACCCGAATCCCCTTCCTACTCTTTCCAGTACTTTCCCCTCTAACTTTTATGTGACTTTTTTTTTTAAAGATTTTATTTATTATGTATACAACATTCTGCCTCCATGTATGCCTGTGCACCAGAAGAGGGCACCAGATGGTTGTGAACCACCATGTGGTTGTTTTTTTTTTTTGTTTGTTTGTTTTGG